CTCCAGGAAAGATGCACACTTTTTCTATGTCAGTGTTTATCAATTCAGGCCTCATTGGGCTACCAGACTCCTTTCACAGCAGTACTTGGCCCATCAAGTGGTAACAGTGGAGCTGTGGTACCCCTACAATTGTTACTGGTCTGAATCTTCAGTCAGTACTGATGTACTAATTTGGCTGTGTTACTGTAGAAAGAAACTACTTACAGCTTTCTTTCTGACTAAATTACAGCAGTGTAATCTTTTAGAAAGCCAAGACTTTATTTAGAAGCTGTAATTTGTGTGTTGCTTATTTTATAACAGATTTCCAGCACAAAATAACAGTGCAAGCATCCCCTAATCTGGATAAGCGAAGAAGTTTAAACAGTAACAACTCTAGTCCACCAAGCAGCCCTACAATAATGCCTCGTCTTCGAGCTATACAACGTAAGTCTTCATCACTATTCCATTTAATTTCTTTAAACAATGTGAATATGTTTGTTTTATGTCAGTGCATTGAAACACTGGTAGCTGTAGCTTAGAGGTGGACTTGAACATTGATGTGATAGAATTACATGTTCCATGACAGTTTACTGTGGATAAAGAAAGAATCTTCCTGGAATATTAACTGTTTTTAGGAATTATTTCAGGTTAACTGGCTGAAAAGAATGCAGTAAATTGTAATACATCTTTTTTTAGTTAAAATATTAATTGTTTTAGGAAATTGTACTTAAATTGGCTTTGAAAGCACTGAAATATTCTTTAAAAAAAAAAAAAAAAGTAATAAGAATTAGTAGATCTAATTTTCCCAGGTCCTGAGCATTCAGTTATTGCACTCCTCATTAAGAATGAAGGGAGTCTGATACAGCCTGTCCCAATGAAGCTCAAATTTTGCTTGAAAAAAGCATCAGTGGAAAATTCTGGGGTGATATCCTTTTCAGAATGTTAACTAGTATAGTTGTAATGCCCCCTGCTCTCTTCTCCCTCCTCCCCCTTCCCCTCCTGTTTTTTTTACAGTCCTAAGAGAAATTAGCTGGTATTCACCTTCATTTAGAACTAGCTTTTCATGCTTGCATGCTATTTTTGATTACTATTAGATCTTACCTGTGACACTCATCACCATAGAAACCAAACAAAGAAGCCATTGATTAGCCTAGTTCTAGAACTTTTAATGTTTTGGAAAGGTAGAAAATAATTGACATTTATATTTTGGAAGAGGCTTCATCTGTGTAGGCTTCTTCATGTAAAGCATTGTGTTTCGGGACCTAATTCTCCATTTGGGGTTTCCTTTTATAGGCCATCAGGTATGCAAAGGTGGATTTTAAATGAAAGAACTTGCTCACTTTGAGTTTTGATTCCTAAGCTTTGTCAAAAAGCCTACTAGATCTTTCAGGGGTATTTGGCTCAAACAGCTTAATTTCCACATCCCTTGTGCCTGTGTAAAAATAAATACCCCCCCTTCAGTGCTGTTTTTATCTTGATTAACTTCAAAATGTCTTTTGGTTAGAATTATTCAGGTATGAGCACTTTGAACAAGAATATCTAATACTTGGTTGCTTGATTAACCCTCAGTCTTAACATCCTCTGGCTTCCAAATCTAAATAGCTTTTTAAAATGAAGAATCCTAGCTCATCATTTAAAAAACAAAACAAAAAAAAAACTAGTCAGAAAAAATTAACTCCATTTTTTAATGCTAATGCTAAGTAGGCTCTTTAGAAATTTGAAAACTCAGTTGTAATATCATGGCTTACTGAAGATAAATCATCAGCTATGATATGTAGAGTAGGTTAATTTCTTTAAAAGGGAATGAGAAGGGTTGCAGCAAGAGAGCTCAAACACGTTAAGTCTAAACGGTCTATACGTGAAGCTGACTTTTAACAAGTTTTTAAGTTTGGTGTTGTTATATCTGTACAATAACCTTGGTTGTGAGCAGATTTACCTCTCCAGGTACCAGCCTAGACCTGGCTTGATGCAGGAATCCATTTAGTTGAATCATATCCACAAACCAAGGCCAATCCTGGAATGAGCAATGCACCCTCACATTTTACTATAAATGCTAAGATCTTCTCAGAGGTGCTTGGAAACTTTCTAGATCTGGATTTCTGTTCCAAGATCTAAAATGAAGAAAGAATCAGTCCTTCCTTTGATTTATAAATTAAAGTAACTAAGATTTCTACTGCATTCTTTTAATTTTTCCTTAGTGCTTTCCAAAACAGACACAAATGCAACTAATGGCCGAAGAAACAGTGTGTATGTGTACCAGCAAGATGTAGATATCACAAGTGAATATGAACTTCCCAGTGGGGTTATGCAAAAAGGCAAGATTCAATTAAGTTGTAAAGGGGATGGTTGTATTAATTTTATAGCTGAATTCAAGTGATAGACTGAGCACGTATGCAGAAAATCTCTTCAGTGTTTGTTTAATGAAAAACAAAACTACATTTAATCAGATGGGTATCTTGGGTGCGACACTGAGTTAATTTGATATGTTCATAAAGATATATGATCACAAATGCCCATGAACAAATATATTAACCAAGTGCTCAATCTACCTCACTTACCACATTACTTCTCAATGTCACATAAGCATGAAAAAGAATCCTTCCTACTTTTTTGTTAATTTTGCACCTTTCTTTCCCGTTTACAAATTATTCCTTGCTTGCTTATCTTTTGAATTGTTGCAGTATATGTATGGGCTTTTCTATGGAAAAAATGCATCTCAGTCTTTCAAGTGCACCTTTATTTGCTACTGGATAAATGTTGTTACAGTGGAGAAGTCTGTTCTGCCAAAATCTAAATATCTCTGATTTTGCAAGGACCATTAATGATCACTAATCTACTTATCTATCTCTAGTAACCTCAGATGACAGCAATAGAACTTGGGGAAGAAGTGCAGCTTTTCACCAAGAGGAATTTGAAGACGTGAAGATAAATTTTAAAAAGAAAGGTTGTACATGGGGGCCAAGCTCAGTTCAAACAAAAGAGTGTGCAGATTGTAAGGAGAGGTATGACTACTATGTTGAAAACCGTTTTTTGTGACTAGTTTAAGTATGAGAGGAAGGGTGCTGTGATACCTGAAAGCTTGGCTATATCTATTCCAGTCATGCAGTTAGTCCAATAAAATATATCAGCCACACGATTTCTTGCCTCTTGCATAGATCAAATATCCAAGTTGAGAAGGCAGTTCTGCAGCCATTAGCTAGCCAATTGTAGCTTGGACTCCTCAAACTCTTCTTTATGCATCTGGGAACTATTAGCTGCTCTCGCAGGTGGCATCCTCTCATGAACGCTGTCTTCTCTGAGACCTTCCATCCCTACTCCTTTTGAGTTTTGTTTTCCTGAGATTCTAAATTTAATGAGGGAAGCAAAAAAAAAAAAAGTCAGTGCTCCTCTGTCATTTATACCATTGGGTGTTACAAGTTGAAGGCACAGAGGGCTCAGGCTTGGCCCCAGTGGACACTGTTAGTTAAAAGATTATTATTTTGCCTGTGTGAAGCATGAATACATACCATAAATGAGATTCACACTGAGGAAAACTTTAAAAAGAATCCTAAAATTACCTGGATAATTGTGTACTACATTCAGGAAAATTATTCTGACCTCAGAAAGCTCTCTTGAGTTTTCTGAAATGTAATATTATTTCCCCCATGTCATTCTTAACATAAATAAGTATAATTGTAGTTCATGCTAAAACAGTCTATCCTGGAGAAGAAAAGACTCAAATTTATGTGAGTATTACTAGCTTCAGCCATGAATACTACATTATCCATGTGCTGCAGAAAATCGTTTTCCTAATTTTGAAAAGCAGTATGCTTTTAAATAATTTCATTTGAGACCAGTAAAACCTCAGAGATTTTACTGATATTTCTACTTGTTACTTTTAGACCTGCTTTACTTTCTTTCAAGGAAAGTAAATTATTATCCAATTTTTAAATCTTTATCGGTTAGAATGGACATTTATGATTTGAAAGCATATCTTGGTATACAGTCATAACTGCTAAATGCAGCTTCATGCTAACACGCAACATGCTAAGTGCAGCTTCCCTTTTGTATTCTTCTTGAGTTGTTTGGGGGGTTTTTTTGTTTTTGCATACGTCTCCTGTAAAGATGTTATAATACATTTTACAACCCCATATCAACCCACTTAATCCTTTTTAAGATACTTTAAATCATTAAGTGCAGTGTACAGTAAATGTTTAATTTGCAAAACATTTATTCATTTTAGCCTGTGGTAGTTCCTAATAAACGTTTTATATAAATATGCTGGTCTAGACCGTGTCAAAAAGAATCATTCTTATTTCAGAATAAGACCCCTTTCCGACGGCAGCAATCCTTGGTCAACAATTTTAATGAAAAATCAGAAAGGGGTTCCATTAGCTTCACTGTTTGCAGATGAAGGTAGGTGTGTGTTTGTGTTAAGGTAGAAGTTGCCCTAATTATATTAGTGCTTCACTTCTGAAAAGATTTATGCATACTCTTTATCTGAAGCAAAAATAGACCTTTAAACTGCTTTGGTATATAAATTTAAACACTGTGCTGACATCTCAGTTTTGTGAAGACTAGAGTTTCTTTCAGGAATCTTTTTCTGGTTCATTTCTATTTTCTGTGTATTTTTTTTTTAATTATTTTCTTGATACTTAAAAAGTCTAAAATAAATTTTATTGTGAATTTGCTAATTTTCTTTAAAGAATGTACATTTGAGGTTTTGTGTGCTGCCATGTAGATCAAGACTCTTTGTATTATTAAAATAGAATAGCTCTTCTGAAAAAGAGCTAAGTCAGTCAAGCAGTAAAGAGCTAAGTCCGTCAAGCAGGGTTGGTAGGGGCAGAGGAATCTACCTGCAAAATGATATAATAGCTATTAAATAGTATCTAAAAGACCAGAAATATAGAGTTAGGATTAAAATATTAATGTGAACACTTGCTGCTTGGTCAACACTTGTCATCTTTCAACCTACCCCAACTATCCAGAACTTATGGCAGCTGATGTACTTGCACTGTTTGCCCATATTCCATTTCGCTACAAGTTACCCCATGTAGAAAAAAACCCATCTGTTATTTACATATATGCATTCTAAAGATTCCAGCAAGAATCTTGCATGTTGATCAAAAGCACATAGGGAGACTTTCATTGAACATCAATATCTAAATCTGGCTTAAAAGATATCCCAGTATGCATCTTTGAGCCTGTAAAACACATAAATGAGGCAGACTGCACTTACAGCAAAAATAACAAATATAAAAAATCTTGAGGTACATATAGCGAGCAAAGTAGAGGAAATTGGATTTTATTTTGAGTACTAAAGTATTAATACTTCATTATAGGTGTTTGTACAGATCAGAGACTTTTCCCTGAAGATTTGGACTGTAAAAGACCAAAGCCAATTAAGTTGCCGAATCAGGCGTATATTAATCTACCTCTTTGGAAGGATGATCAGGGAGAGAATGCTGTAGATCATGAAAGCTTTGAAGAAGGAACCTCTACTAGTTCTGCAAATAGTACTCCACAAATGACTCCTACAAACAGTCTTAATAGAACATCACAGAAAAAAAAAACTGACTCTGTGTTGTATGGATGTGCGGTTCTCCTTGCATCTGTAGCTTTGGGCTTGGACATTAGAGAGCTGAACAAATCGCAGGTTCCAGATGAACTCATGCTCAAAGAGGAGAAGAAGAAACGGGATGGAATATTTCAGCGTGCTTCAAAGTTTCGCAGGAGTGCAAGTCCTATACGATTGCAGTCCAAAAAGGAGGAAACCAATATTCCATCCCTAAATCCTTCTGCAAATACTGTGAACCTTCTCTCTGTCTCTTCCATTTCCACAAAATGCTTGCTTCAGTCTGACGGTGAAGATGCTTTTGTAAGCGTTATGCCCAGTGATTGTAATCCAAGCATTCCCACTGCTGACTTTTCATCTGAAATTCCTGCAAGTAAGAGGGAACAAAGGGTAAAGCTGGTTCTTGACACTGATACTGCAATGTTAAAGAATACATCTCCTATTCATCCTTTTAAGCAATCTGAAAATGTGCCAAATGTTTCTTCCTCAAAACTGAGGGTGTTGGGTCACCGACGAACTTTGTCAGAAGGAAATGCTTTCCAGACTACAAGTAAGTAATACAAAATATCAAAAAAGAAGTTTTTACTGTAGAAATGAAAATCCTATGGAACTGCAGTTTATCAGTTGCTGAAAGTTAGTGATAAATAACTAGTTGTTGAAGGAGAAGTGGTCAGTTGGGGCACTTGTATATGTGCTTCAAGGGTGGGTTGGGGAATGAGAGCTGCTCTAATGAAAGCACTGTTGTGCATTGTGTATCAGCGTCCCTGCGCTTAAAAATGGCAGCGGGGGTGCTTGAACTAAAGTTACTTTGACCTTTAGATAAAGCACCTCCACCACCATTTTTAAGCATGGAGACAGTGATACTCAAGGCACAGGTGGCTGCTAGAGTGCAGCAGTTGTCACGCTCCAGCAGACTCGATTAATTTAATCTGCTTCAACGCACTGGAATTCCAGCACGTCGGAGCAGGCTTTGCGCTTGTGTATAGGTGCCCTTGAAGTCCAGTAAAAATGTTGCTAGTAAACAGCAATACAGGTTCACTTAATGTTTAAGCTGCTTCAGTGGAAGTCTGCTGGAACCTGCTGTGAACAGCATGCATCAGAACAGTGTTGCCAATTAAATTATCAAAACTGGTTCTGTAGTAAGGAGTCTCTTCATACTTTGGGTCTTGAAACAAAACTACCAAGCATAGTAGCTGGCATTGCTGTTTCTGCAAATGTTGTTGTATCTGGGCTTCAGGTGGCAGAAAGAAATGCTAAACATAGTTTAAAATAGCTTGACAATTGGTCAGCCGAGGCTGGTTGGTGCCCTATGACTACTATTCATTTATTGAGTTATAGAAAAACAGATTTGATAAATCTTGAAGTCCACAAAGTAGGCTGTTGCCTAGGAAGATTCATGCCTTTGAATCCAGTTAGGACAGGGTGGCACCTAAGTGACTGCCTTCTGAGAGTCCAGTCACATGCTGGATGTTTAACAGTTAAACCAGGGCTGTCCAACTAATGGCCTGTAGACTGCATACAGCTTGCAAGGGGTTTGGTTACACCCCTCAGCTCTCACCTGGCTCTAACAGCAGCCAGAGCCTACAGGCCCTCCCCTCCTTCTTCCAGCTGCTGCTCCCTGCCTCTACCCCAGAGGGTGGGTCAGTACAACACAGCTGAGGGTGAGTCTGGACTGTGGTGGATAGGAGGGGGCAAGTGATGAAATCTGGGCCATGGGCAGGGACAGATGAAATCAGGACTGCACTGGGGGTGGGGGAGAGAGTACAATGGGGTATGTGGCCCTTTGGGACTTAACAGTTTAACTCAGGGCCGTCCAACTTCTAAGACAAATACAAGCTTAAATCTTATCCTCAAATCTACTAGTAGCAGAGATAAGTGGGTAGTTTTAGTTATTTAAGATACTAGAATTGTTTTGTTCTGGGTAACGTACCCAGAGCTCTTGTTATGAATAGTACTGCTCCACAGTGTAATGCAGTATTCCTCGGAAGCATAATTTGTTTTTGAATTCCTCAAACTGTTCTTTTTCCTCTGAATGTGCATGTGGTGGGACCACTTAAAGGGGCTTGAATGGGCTGTGGAGCAGCTGGCAGATGCAGTTAGGCCCAATTAGGTGGTTACATGACCGCAAGGGGAGCCCCTCGATTGGATGAGGGCTGGGCAGCCAGGGTATAAGCTCTGGCCCTATGGAGCTGAGTTGAGAGCCAGTGGAGCAACATCACCCAACCTGAGTACAGCTCCTGGAATACCTGGAGGCCAGGGTAGGAACTATTGGGATGGAAGAGGTTCCTTTTGGTCATGGGTAAGACCTGAAACTGCTCCCTGCTGGGGTTGGATGGGGCGATGAGGCAGTCTCCAGGAAATGCCACACCTATGCTTCCCCAGTAAAAGGCAAAGATGGGGCACTATGGAGCCTCAGCCCTCACTGCCTTGTGGGTACCCCATGGAGGGGAAAGGCTAGTGGAGCACACCCTGACAAAAAAGCACAGGGCACAGGCCCATAGAGCAGGGCCTGAGGCAGAGGTCAAGGCCCACTGAGTGGGGCCTGATGCCAAAGGGGTGTAAGGCCCAGGAGCCTAGTGAGGGGCAGTGTAGTGGCCCAGAGAGGGACTAGAGGCTGAGTTTGGCCCGGTGTGGGACAGAAAGCAGGAGACCATGTAGAGTAGGGCCTGTGGGCGGGCTGAAGGACTAGAGTAGGGTGGCTGAAGTGTCTGCGTGATGAAGCCCAAAGAGTAGACCCTGGGGGGACCCAAAGGGCTGTGCAGAGTAGGTGAGGCCCAGTGAGGGGCGGTGTGATTGAGGCCTGGCAAAGGGCAGAGTTTGGCCGAGCAACGGGCCAGAGTTGTCAGCAGTTTGGATGCCATCTGCGAGGCATGGGATGGTAAATAGGGGGTCGGAGCTGTGTGTTTTGCCCTTGGCATCAGGGCTTAGAATGGGCAGCCTCCTGCATTTTCATCTATTTTGTGACCTCAAGGCATGGCAAGCAAGTGAGAGCAGACTGCCCTTGCCAGGTGGGCAGGCCGATGTCGAGCTCGGCTGGGGACAGCCCCCTGTCACTGTGTGTTTATACCTTGCTTAATACAAAAATTATTTGAATAGATAATCAAATTTTGCCCGCTTTCTTCCAGTAATGGTAGGCATCCAGTTACTGGGACAACAGCCTACTTCTCTTCCTCAGTCAGCAACTCTGAGTTTCCAGCACGAGAATAATATTGACTCAAAGGAATTCTTTTTGTATGAGGTTTGACTGTCTGAGCCAGATTGTATCTGATGGTGCTGAGCATTTATGGGGCATCATTAATTCCTACTACGTTTTTATAAATTTTAATGAAGATAAAATTCAACCATTAACACTTGCTTTCTTTGCTAGTCCTCTTTACAAATTTGAGGAAAGATAAAGTTACAGGTGATCATCTAACATTGTCTCGTCTTCCCCTTCATCTAGCTAATGGAATACCTTCAGCTAATGGAGTCTCCAAGTTGTCTACTCTCCCAGTTTTTGGAATCCTTCCTTCTCCATCTCCACAAAGAAGCATACCAAGTGATGTGTCACCACAAAAACAAACAAACATCAATATTATATCTAGGCCTCGACCTTCTTCTCTGAGAAGCAAAATAGATCCTTGGCAGTTACTTCCACAGATTATAAAACCAAACTCTGCAGAGGCAGATTATTTAGAGGGTGATTTAGGCCCACATGTTAACTTTTTACCAGATTCTGAGAAGAGAACTAAAGGCCATATGCCCTCCTTACTTGATGCTGATGTGGAAGGTCAGAACAGAGACTGCACAGTGCCTTTATGCAGGATGAAGAGCAAGACTGGTCGGCCATCTATATATGAACTGGAGAGAGAATTTCTATCTTGAGTGCTTTGCTGTTTAAAGTATTGTGGGTTTTTTTGTTTTTCTTCTTTTTAAGGAGAACAAAAATTAAAAGTTCTTGTCCCTCTGATGTTTCATGCTGCTGTTTTCTAAAACACTGCGGCCATTAGTACCAGAAGTTTTGTAATGGGCAACTAATTCTAAAGTATGTAACAAGGTGCCTATTTTGCATCTTTCTTAAAATGCCAGCTAGTAATTTTAAAAGCATAGTGTTGTAAAACTATTCTGGATGCATATCTAAACACAGATTAACTATCTGAATTAATTTTATTCCTTTTCCTCAAAAATATCAGGCACACTTTCTGTGCTGAAGTCTAACTTGTGCATTAAAGAACTCATTAACATGCAGTGGAATTCTTTTCAGTTTCAAAAAAAGTTTTGCATGCATATCTTCTGCTTGCAGGAGTAATCTCCTTGCATACAGTAGAGTTTTTTGATGCCAGCCCAATAGCAAATTACATTTTGGCATTGATTACATCATGGAAGTAACCAATACCAGCACTGAATTCAAAATGTTTTCGCCTTCATATTCTTGATGGATACAGTGGTTGAGAGCAGTTGATCCAGCCACTGTCTAAGAAATTATGCTGTTTTTGTAAACACTTAAGTTCTAGGCACAACTTTTTAACTTTGAGAGGGTTAATTGAAAGGTTGCAGCTTGGTTAAAGGCATTAGACATACTTTGTGAGGCAACATTCCACTTAAGTAAAAAATACATTTGAATTTAGATATTTGTACTCAGACTTTTTTAAAAAGATTACAAGGTTTGCACTGAAAAGAATATTCCTGATTTTTTTTTTTCTTTTTTTCTCTCCCCTAAAATAATACCTAGCACTCAGGTACTGCTATTTTATGTGGGAGAAACTTTTCTTTTTCTTTTTTTTTAATTAAGATAAAAATGCATTTAATTGCATTTGTTCCTAGCACAATTGTAAACACTTGCATTAAATATTAGGCTTTATAAGAATAAAATCATTGTGGCCTTCAGTTTCCCAGTGACAGCCCTGCTTCTCATATTGAGGTTTGAAAAGACAAAAACCTGATAACACTTGGTTTCTAACTCAGCAATGCCCAACAGTCTCTTTTTTTAAATGTTGTAGAGGAAGGTGCACTTTACCTGCAGAGCTAACACAGTGATTAATTTAAAAACAGCTTTCAGTAAATGCCAAAGATAAAGTATGCAATGTTCACAGTCTTACAAACATGCTATGCAAAAGCATTGTTAAAAGTTAAGAAGTGTTTTCTTAAATTCTAAACTTTAAACTAATAATCCCTAGTATCTTGGCCGATTTTGGGTCATGTGTCCGATGCAGAAATAAAATAACACAGTTGCAAAATTTCATCTCCCAGCATGACACTCTTGTTTAAATGATTCGTCTCTTTTACCCCTTAAGTCTGGGATTTTATGTTATTGTTTAGCAGAATCAATGAAACTTCAGCATTAAAGCCAAAGGTTGGGGAAGCAATTCTCTGTTCTAAAATTATGATGCGCTGCTTTGCTTATGTTGACAGTGAGCAATAGAAACAGTAAATCATGCAGACAGGAGGAGATAACTGGTCAAAAAAAGCTCATAATATTCAAAGTGGAAATTAAAATAAAAACATTTCTTAAAGTGTAATATTCTTTAAACATACTTTGGTACATTAACTTATACTTTTTGCAGCTAAGAAGGACTGTATAGTAGGTTATTAAATTGCTGTACTTTTCAAATCTTTCTTACGTAATCTGTCTGAAGCAAGTTACTTAAGAAAGATCTAAACAACAAATATAGTAATTTAAAACTAAAGCACTGAAGTTCAATATCAGTATGAATACTACACATTTTTAAAACTTAATTACAACATTAAATTATGTACAATATACTTGAACATACTTTTAAACCTTAAAAGTAAATGAAATCTGTTTTACATTTAAAATGTAATGACTTGCTCTCAAAGTGTACATAATTACATGTTTGGTTCACTATGAAAACATGGATCAAATCTTAAATATAGGGTAGCAGCATGTTTTTAATTTGGGGGCTGAAAATTAGGTATTGAAATATGATATATGCTTAAACTGTTTCAGGAGATAGACTCAGTCTCTAATATTGAGAGAAACAGTTGACTGGATTGTACAACTTCTAGGGGAAGTTGTTCTATCTAGCTTTCTACAAGAAAACCTCAGGTTCTGTAGTCTTGTCTGGTAAACTTGTGTGCATAATACTTTTTTTTCCTTCATTGTGAATGCTGAATTTTGCAACCTAGCTCCTTCTATAATCAACAGTGACAGCACAAAAATATTTTTGTGTGCTGTGCTTTTCTTCTGTGACAGTGACACACATGATATCATCTGTTTTTAGCAAAATTCTCCATTGATTTTTAGTGAGGAGTTCTGCTTTAGAAATGATTGGCATACTATGGGCCAACCAGCACAGTGTACTTCTAATAGGTATTATATACTCTAATGTTGCATCCCCAAGGGAAAACATATGCAAGCCATTTACAAGACTTTTTTTTTTCTGATGACGTCTCTATGGTATAATTCTTCTAGGTCAGTCCTCATTCATATGAAAAGGTTGAAATAAAATTACCATGTTTTCACATTCTATTTTTCAAGTCACCACATGTATCTTACCTTGTTAGGTTTTTTTAAAAAAGTAATCCTCCATGTGTGTTGCTTTATCTTTTATTTAGTAAAAGATGCACCTATTTAAATATAGGTGACCAGATAAAACGGTATGGATTATATTAACATCTATTTTGAGATGCTTAAATTGTAAAGACTAAGAAACCACTTGACATATTGTTTACAAAACCCAGTGGCTGAATTTTTGTTTTGTTTGTTGTATTCAGTTGCACCATGTTTTAGAACTTTTGGGGGAGGGGAGGATGTTCTTTATTTTTGTATCTTAACCTACTGTATAAAAGTTTTGGGGAGTAAACAAGAACTGAACACCCGATTCCTAATCCTTCAGAATGCAAGGATGCAGCTGTCTATATAGAAAGTGAGTAATTTTAAGTGAGCTTCAATTCACAAAAGATTAATTGATCAACCTCCCTACCTATGTACTTTGGTTACTCTAAACAGTGCAGATCTATTCTGCCTCCTAATTTAATCTTACCTAGATTACTGTAGGTGGCAGGGGGTGTAACTAACTCCATCATAGCTAAGTTACTTTCCTGTTTTTGAATCATAGGTCTCTACACTTTAGCAGTTCCTGATTATTTTTTCTTATTCCTGTTCTATATACTGCTCATGTACAGCAGTATTTTGACATTTCTTGTTGAAGATGGTGAAACTAGATAACAAGAAAGGAAAAGAAATAGGTGGACATCTTGTTGTACCAGCCTCTGGGTCACAATGAGATCATGACCCAGCAGTAGGAGCTGTAATTGGCTTTTAGAATCTGTTTGCCCTGCTGCCTTTCCTCAGTTTTAGCTGCAGCCCCTTTCACATATTGACCCCTGTCTCTAAGGTAATGCAGAATATGACGTGCCTGTGGAACATAAGGTGAGAGAACCCTAATCGCAGCTGGTGGGAGAAGGACTTTTTATTGTTATAACTTGTATCCTTTTGCTGAGTGCCATATTTACCTGAATCCAAATCTACTTTGAATTTGAATTTAAGACCCGCCCCCCCCACCTCCGGTCCTGTGCTTACCATCCATTGTGGCTCTAGCTCTAGCCTGGGGCACAGAGCAACATGGTGGCTATAGCCTGGACCCAGCCAGGCATCAGTGGCAATGGTGGCTTCAGCCCTGACCTGGGCTTTGACCTTGTCCTGTGCCTGGGGACAGAGTTGCTGCTACTGCAACTGCTGCTACCTGGCTGGGGCAGGGAGCAAAACCACTATGTGTTGCATATTTGGAGCTGGTGTTAGAGCCAGACCTGCAACTGAGGATAAGTCCTGATGGTGGGTGGCTGGTGGTAGGGGCAAAGGCAATGCAGGAGAGCAAAGTCAGTAGAGAGCAGGTGGTGTCATGGGGGGCAGCCACCTGCCATCTTACCTTGCACTCAAATCCAAGACAAGAAGCTCTTTTCCCTGTGCTGGGGCAGGGGGGAGGAGGAGGAGGAACTTGTCTTAATTTCAAGTAAATATAGTATTTGAGCCACTCCACAGGGATGAAGTTGGAACTGAAGATCTCAGTAAGAAAAAGCAAGCATCATGGTTCCTATTGTTTGTGACTACATTACTTTGGAAAGCCTTTGATGGAGATTAAAGGAGAGGGGCAGGGTTCCGTGGCCGGTGTAGCGGAACTGCAACAAATGGCTAATTTCTGAAATGGGCACAAGCATCTCTGAGGGTATGCAGCCATCTTTTGGAAGGTACAAGAGGAAAGATTGGGAGAGCAGAAGGGGAAAAAACAAATATAAACAGAGAAAAGGGAAGAAACCAAAATTAGGAAAAACAGTTCTACAGTATCTCTTGATTGCTGGAGACATTGAGTGGTTGTAGTGATTTATAAAGTGTTACTTTTATTATCCATAACATGGGATCCTAGGAGTACAAAAGTCTCAAACTTAAAATGGGGTACATGACCTACAAAATCTGAGAAATACTGCTATAAAGAAGTTACAGATGGAGTTCTTTCTCTGAAAGTCAAACATCTACATAATTCAAAGCTAGTATTCTATAAGGATTTCATACAGACTAGATACTGATCTTTACCCTTTGAAAAGAAGCAACCTTCAATTTGCTCTTGTGCAGCAGGTCCTCTTGCCAGCATTAGATTGTGTTGCTACATGAATGAGAGAACCCCTAAACCACCTTGGTACTGCAGAAGCTGTTGATGATTAACAGGTATACCTTCCTAGGTTAATGAAGCATTGCATCGTGGCTATTATTAGGAACAGAGATGTTAAGGAATTAGTTGATGAATGGGTTCTTTTGTTGTTGAAAAATGCAAACTCAACTAAACTTTCTACAGAACTATTTCAACATCATTTTCACCAGGAAGGTTTTTAAAGTCCGTACACAGAGCCAGTCCAAAGTAACCAGCCACCCAGTGGCTAGGATGCTCCAGAGATGTGGAGAGTTTTGCTGTG